GGTAGTGTTGTAACATCTATTCTAGTGTCTGATGCTGCAGAAAACAAGCATCCTGAAGTAAATGTTTATATACAGACAAGAATTCAACATTTTCAATGTTATAAAGGCAACAGGAAGACAAATGTTTCAAAATGCTATCCAGTCGCACTTTAAAATTGATGTATATTCCTGGCATTAAATTCTTGTGTTGCTTAGAACTGAATAAGTGACAAATATTACACATTTTTCTGTTTTCAGAAATACTTGATTTGGGACATCTCAAACAACATGTTTTGAGATTGCACTCATGTTGACAGCTTGGATATGCTTTTGTTTACTTTCTGATTAGATCAAAATAAAAACATGTGCAGTTAGACCTTTTTTGATCACTCTGACGATATGCCAAGGCTCTTCCTCTCGGTGTCTGCTTTTCCAAAAGCCTCTTTCCGAATGTAAGAATTATTCTTCACAGCGAATTTCTCTGTTTTGTATCAGACTAAAATTTTAAGGTTTCTGAATAACTTGTGTATTTTTCCCCAATATTGTTTAGTACTATGGAATTTATATTTAAAAGCTGTGCTCGCCAAGCTCACCTTTTCTAGCTCAGTATGCCTGTTCCCTTTCCCTCACCTCACCTTGGGGATTCCATGGATTATATCCTCTGTGGCTAAATCTCTTACCTTGTAAGGGTAATTCTTGCTTCTGCTGCTGTTCCCTTGCAGCTCAGATGTCTTCTGATCTTTTCACAGAACCCACGATGAGTCTCTCAAAACTTCATATATAACCATAGCACTTCATTTGTGTGTTCCTGTTTTTTTTGTTGTCGTTTTGTGGACTGTCAAATTCTGTTGAAGTGATTTCCCTGTTACTGATGTTATTCCAAGAAATCTGTCACTCACAGTAATAGGGCTGATCCCTTTCCTGGGTACTGAATAACCTGTGTTGCAGTATTTTTATTTCTTATATGTGTTCAGAAATGCTTAGCATATATTTACGGGATTTTAATAGAATAGGGAAGTCTAGCTTAGGAAGGTGGGCAGTTTTATTTCCAATTATGTTATCATTATGATGTTTCGATTGTTGCAATCAAATAAGCAATGGCATGTCTGAATCGTGTCCTGAATTCAGCCTGCAAGTGACTGTCTGCACCATTCTTTACCTTTATCAGGAAGGATGTTTGCTTTTTTAAGGAAGTGCTCTGAAATTTCCACCAGCAGAATTATTCAGATAAATTGTGTTAAGTTTAGAATGAAGTCATGAAAGGATTCAGTTACAATTAAATAGTCTGCTATTTAAAGAGAAAATGATATTCTTTCACAAGCGTGAGATGAGTGCAGTCTCTGTGCTTCATGCTGTGTCAGCAGGCACTATCAAAGACTTAGGAAATTACAAGGACTTCAGCTGAAAATAGCAGCCATTAGAAAAGTGCTAAGGAGTATCTGACTTAATTCTCAGTTCTCTGCAAACCTTGTTACATGAAATCAAAATTGTTCAGTGCCTCTTACAGGTGGTCCAACGTTTGCCACGCTTGAGATGAGATCAGATCTCAGGTTTTGCCCTCCCCATCTGCAAGAAGGTATTTGAAGCATTGCAGCAGTAGCAGCTGCTCAGTGCTGGGTTGGTCAGAATGCCCAGGAGGAATTCTCACCTGTCCTTCTCCCTGAATATTGACCACACAGCTGCTTGGACTGTTCACAAGCCCAGGAAAAAAAATATTGGCTGTTTGGCTGATTTTGCCAGGCTGCCGATCCCTGCATCTTCCGAGGGATGGTAGATGGATGGAAGGTGTCTGAAGTCTGCTCTTTGAACCATGCCTGTCCTTAACTTGGAATCCTGGCCATAGTTGTCCATATTTTGAGCTTCAGACAAACATTTGGTAGTCAAGAATCAACAAAACAAACACACAAGGAAACAATTACTTGCTTGTGATGAGACTGGTAATTTTTCATTGACTTTCTGTTGACTTTCTAAATGTACTCTTTTAGAATTGCTCAGAGATAGGGATAGATTAGTGAGCAAGGAAAGCAGTTTCCTTAGGAGCTCTACAGGAAACTTCTGGATGTTACTGGTTTTCCCATCTTTTTGGTTTTAGTTTCTTCCCAGCTTTTAAGTCCTTCTCTCTTGCCATCTCCTAGTGTAATGTTTTACAGATGTAATGATTAGTTGCAACTTCATCCCTTTTCATACATAGAGTTGTATAACTATCCTAATTAAACATGCACATGGTAAAATTGCGAGCTAGAAAGAGCTGTCTGGGCTTGGATGATAGCAATTAAATGATTTATATTTACAGGCGTCAATATTTATCTTATGCCTGCCATCTGTCCTAGCTTGTCGTCTATGGCTGAGTGTGTAGTTCGTTTGCTGTAGTTACCATTCCAGCTTCTTTTCTCTGGACGCTGTGTTCTTGGCTGAGGAGAGTTTTGCTTTTCATAAGATGATGTAGTAATACCACATTCTAACTTTACAAACACTGTTAGTCTTTCTGTGTTCACCTGAGGATTTTTTTTTTTCCTGCTTAAGTTTCAGAAATGCAAGGTTTCAAGGTGCTTAAAATAAATGAGTCAGTGTCTCCTTCTGCCCCCAATTGTTCTCAAACACGGAGCTCTTGCTAAAATTATTTAGGGTGATGCCCCTGACAAAAATATGGATGAACCAAGTCCCAGTTTCCACTGAGCTTCAGTATGTTAAACAGGCACAATTTATTTTTCTTTTCTGCAGTTCTCCTTGGCTCTTGCAGGGTCAGAAGCAGCAGTAGCACTTTGGCCGTTCCCAGTTGAGTCATTTGGAATGCAAATCACTTTGCAGCGATGCCAGAGGTTCCCTTTGTGCTGGGCTTTATATAAAACGCATGACAGATTGTCAGCTTTGTCACATTCCCTGGACAGCAGGGAATAGGTAGAGGCTTCAGCTTTAGATTCAGACAGAGCTGGACTAGTATCGGAAGGTCTTAGTCAGCTTTGCTTTGCAGATAAGTGTAATTTAGTGCTGCAAGTCTGGGCAGGGATTCTCTTCCCAACTGGACAAATAGAAATCCAAGCAGATGTCCTCTGAAAAATAAAGCAAGTGGTGAATTGTTACTCTGTTTCTGAGCTTTGCTGCCTATTAAATATCTTAGTTAGTTTGCATGAAACCAAACTCAGTAGATCTCGAATTGAAGCGTCTCTGGAGAGCTGGACTAAAGCGGACCTTGTCTGAATCTGTTGGTATACTAGTGACTAAATAGGTTGCATCCATAAATCGTGTTGGGTTTTGGTTGCTATTCAAAGTTTTTGAGTTACTGCAACACTTGTTTCAAAAATACTCCTTCAGAAGGAAGCACTGAACACGTTTTTCCTAGTTAGACCTATGTTATTAGGACAAGACATAAATGTCTTCACCATTTCAATTTTAAGTAAAGAAAAGTTGAAATTTCTTGGGAACGACAATTTTGGGGCTGTGGAATATTTTTTAAATTATTATGCGAATCTTAATTTCTGAGATTATCAGCTTTGATTCTTCTGAGTAGTTCTGCCAGCACAATCCACAACACCAGAGTTAGGGACCTTGCTCTGAAAACTGAGAATAGTGACTATAAAAGCTACTATTTGGCATGATGAATGGAAAGAGTACAATGACTGTTACACAACTTTATTAAAGCCCTCGTTTTGGAAAATTATGTAGCTGTCTGGGTCTGTCACCCTGGCTTATTGTGCCCTGGGTTTCAAAGATGCTGCTCTTTCAGGTCATCTTCATCATTTTGTGGATACAATAACTTCTTAAAAATCAGATTTTGATTAAAAGACTTTGAACAAATTCCTTGTGTTAAAATAGGACCTAATGTTCTCTCTTCACTGTCACACTAGGTTCTCTGTAACTTGAATCCACTCTAAATCCAGAATGTCAGTGCTGAAGTTGCTTGCATTATACAGTTCCTCTCTGAGGGAATGTGAATTGGAGCAAGCAGATGGAGCAAGCAGATGAGCAGACTTTGCAAGCATTTTGAAAATAGGTCTTGAAAGGGATTTTAGTATAAGAAGCAAACAGATCTGGATGAATAAGAATGGCACTCATAAGACTTTTTTCTTTCTGGCTTTGGTTTTCCTATAAACTTTGCCTTCTTTGAACTTAGATCAGAATTGCCCTGAGTTCAAGATCCTCTTTTTTTATGGGGCCTCTGCTTTTAAAACATCGATGCTATCTCTGCTCTGCAGGTGATTTCGTTCTTTTTAAGCAGGTCTTGTGGTTTGATTCTCTTATTATCCTTGTACCAATAATTTTCCCTTTGGGACAGGAGGTAGTCCAGAGACCAGACACTATGAAAACCAGATGAGCTGCATGTCCAAAGTGGGGCTGATGAAGCTGACAGCCTCTTTGCGATCTTATCAAGCATGTCTTTGTGTGGGTGATAAAATCAGCACTCAAACTTCTGCCAAGTTTTTTCATTTCTCTTCTACTTTGCAGCCAGACTTACTGGCTTTGCTTTCACTTCTGTCTGAAGTGATCTTAAGTAGATGTTTGTCCTTGCTTGCATGCTGGAATTGTGATTTACAGGTCCGTGACAACATTGGTGGCATGTGAAAGCCACATAACCACACAGGGGAACTTGCGTAACTCTGGAGTAACTTGTACGCAGCACTGTGTATGCTAAGACCGCTCTAGCAATATCATTGAACTCATATTCTAAATGTTTTCTGTGAGTTGCCTGTTCACAGCTTCAAATCTGGAACAATTGTACTTTTGAAAGCTAGTTCAGACTGCACACAGTCATTATAATGTGGGAAGTGCTTCGTAACCACTGGTAGAGATCTGTTGCTGTGCGTGGAGCTGCAGACTGTTGGCATGTTAATGCCCTCATTTGAAAATCTGGCTTTGAAGGACAAGCCATGAGTTGAGTGCCCAGTAGCTTGTTCCATGTGCCATGGGTGGCTTAGGTTAAAAGTCGTCTCTAAGTTGTCAAATGGCTTTGCATTTGGAAAATCTTGTGAGTGGCATGCCGTCTTAATTTTAAATGTAAATTAAATATTTTTCTCTTTTTGTAGGAACTGGAGACATTGTTGCTGTCATGATTACAGAATCAAAGGTTAAGGAGATCCTGAATTACTTGGAAAAGAATATCTCTGTCCTGATGGCAATAGCAGTGGGGTCCCGTGTTCCTCCGAAAAACTTCAGTCGGGGCTCTCTAGTCTTTGTGTCAATATCATTCATTGTTTTGATGATAATTTCTTCAGCGTGGTTAATATTTTACTTCATCCAGAAGATCAGGTACACAAGTGCACGTGACAGGAATCAGGTAAGGGGACTTCTTTTTTTTTTTTTTTTCCTCTCTAAGATCTGGAGGTGATATTTCTGTATACAGTAGTCAGTAGACAACAAATAATTTCTAAGGAATGTTCATCAAACTAGTGTTCAGAGCCTCTTTGTTCCAAGGCAGAGCAGGTTGCCAGACAAGAATTTTTATGTAGCAAAGTGTTTTCATCCGGAGCAGCACCAGTACAAGATTTTACTACATGACAGCAAAGAATAGAACTGAAGCAAAATCTTTGGATTTTGCTGAGTATAAGTCCAAGAGGAAGATAGATTCTCTGTTGGCTGAATAATAATGTTGGCTATATATGCTTTGGGAATGGGGAGGAAAGTTGAATTTTGTAGTGTGGGTGAACACAGAGCTAACATTGTGAATTCTATCCATGTTCTTAAAGATAGCTTCAGTAATAGTTAAGGTAATTCAGAAGTTGTGTAAAGGTATTTCCAAACTATAATCTGTCATGAATGTTAGGATAAGAAGACTGAGGTATACAGCTGCTTAGTGAAAGGTGTTAACTTCCAGCTTTATTCAAGATCACACTTGGTATGGACTGCCTAGTTCTCCTGGTCATGTATTTTAAGTAAAATTTTGTCCAATATGCCTTTCTTCCATTCTTTTTCAACTCTTAATTTAAGAACTGAATTAAGTATGGCCATACTCGGAGATCTTGACTAAATCAAGTTAACTTAAGTACAGATTAAACTTTAGAAGTAAATGTTTTACTCGTGTGGACCTGATGACCCACTGCATCCATAGCGTGCTTTGGCTTTTATTGAGAAGGGTCAGTAAACCTCAGGAAGTCCCCCGTACTCTCTTTGCCTGTGTTCCTCTCTGTCCAGGCTAACTTACAAAGCTGCTGACTTCTACTCACTGTCCCTACTTTCCCCCTAAATTACAGCTCATACACAGGACCTCGCTGAGGCAGTGCTTTGGAGTTTTGTCAAACCTAAAACAAATGCAAGCTTAAAAAGCTTCAGTTGTGACAAAGGATTTCCTTTTTAGTTTCTATAAATAGTGTCCGGTGCTGCAGGTCCTGTGGGCATCCTGTAGATTTTTCTAAGGATGTCATTCTTGAATGACCACACTGTAACTGGTACTTATTGTGGTCCCCTGGGATGGTGAAAGTTTAAATATAACTGTTACTCAATGAATGTCTGTGGAATACTAAATTGTCCTTACTGCATCCCCTACATGGTTCTAGGCTTCTTCCAAATGTCCGTGTTTCAAAACAGTTGCTCCATGGGGAAAGAGCCCTTATGACCTTTTTTCTTTCTTTAGATTTTTACAAAGGTCAGGAGAAACTTGATGAAAATTTTATGTCGTTTAAAAAGCTGAGCTTATTAAACTTTAATAAGAAGGTGGCGACAGATACAGCTTATTTTTGAAGAGCTTTGAGAGCTTTCACAGAGAGAAGGCTGTACTGTTAGTGATGAAATAACTTGGTTTAGGCTATGATCTTGTTTTTAAGTTATGTTGAGGCACACTTTAAAAAAAAAAAATTAAAAATGGTGCTGTGTTTTGTAGATAGTGCAAGTAGATACTGGTATTTCACATCGCTACTCTTGTGCACTTCCGCCAGGGGTATGAAACTCTCTTGCATGTGGTGGTGGCCTTTTCCATCACGACAGTTCTGGGTTTTAAAAGCAAGCACATGTTGTATGCCTGTGTCATAACTTATCAAAAGAGTAAATGCTGAGCATTTCCAATGTTAGCATTAAAGAGTGTTTCTTAAAAGTAGAAAATTGAAGAGGTGGATCTCTTAAACGGAAGAGATGAAAGCTATGTTTAGCAAATTTATTTACATAAGAGAACATGTATACGTTTTGGAGGAATTTTGCTGACATATTATGCTTCCAATAGGAAAATAATCTTTCTTTTAAGATTTCTTGTAGTGCATATACACTCATATGCAGTGCAACTAAATATAAATACTATTCACAATTACTTAGTTGGTAGCGTTGAGCATTCAAGTTAAGTGCCTTCTCAGCCTTGTTCCTCTCATAGTAATTACACTTTTGGTTATGCAATGATTATCTATTCCAGTGGTGTGCCGGTGTGTTCTGTGTCATTAAGTACTCAGGCCACTATGCTTCTTCCAGGACATGTAGTTTAGATTTCCTTAAGTTGACCAGTTTCTCACGTTAAAGTTAGGATGAGATTTCTGACTTCAGGAAGCATGTAATATCCCCATCCCAGCTCAGTTTGATGCCGCATTTCCTACATGGGTATACTTCAGTAGCTGGGACTGAGTATCTGATTTTTTTTTTTTCAAATCCATGCTCTATAACATATAAAATGACAGCTGCTGTTCTGTGGAAACCACAAAAAAAAGTGCTTATGTGATTCTACAGTAACAGTGGTACAGTTGGTTGTGGTGGACTTCTGAGGTCTTTGTGTTTCTCAAATAAAAGCAGCCTTCTTAGTTTCAGTTTGCATGCAGAGAAAGTGTACGATACAGGGGGGTGCACCTCATGATGGATTTGATTTTTCAACTGTATAAAAGGTGGGCACAAAACCCGCGGGTTTGTTTCAAGCTATATGAGAGGTTTTGCTAGGTGCAGTTTCCATTCTCAGGAACAGCCCATCTCTTTCAAAGGCAGAGAACAAGGTGGAGGATGAAATACGATGTCGTGGTTTAGCCCAGCGAGCAGCTAAACTACCATGTGGTCACTCGCTCACTCCCCTGGTGAGGTGGAGAGGAGGAGAACATAACCAAAGGCCTGAGGGTTGAGATAAGAACAGGAAGTCATCACCCACCAACCATGGCCTGAGGCAAAACAGGCTCAGCCCTGCCCCTTCTTCCTGGCTCCGCTTCCTTACTGGGAATGATGGGGTTGCAGGTCAGTTAGTCGCATGTTGTTTCTGCCGCTCCTTTCTTAAAGGAGGAGGAACTCTTTACACTAATTTCCTCTGTCCAGTGGATCCCCTCTTCACAGGAGAGTCCACAGACTTCTCCATCGTGAGGCCTTCCCCAGGATGCAATCTTTACCTGTCAGATTGCTCTAGCACAGGCTTTTCCTATAGAGTGACAGCTTCTTAGGGCGCAGCCACCTGCTCCAGCATGGAGTCCTCCACAGACTTCAGATGCATCTCTGCTTCGTCGTCAGTCTCCAGCAGCGTGGAGTCCTTCCCACGGAGACAATCCATGACTTCCCTTAGGTGCAGGCATCTCTGCTCTGGCGTGGAGTTCTCCACAGGCTGCGGGTGGATCTCTGCTCCACTATTAATCTCCATGGGCTACAGGGGAATCTCGGCTCCAGCACACCACCTCCTGCTCCATCTTCACTGACCTTGGTGTCTGTGTAGCTGTTTCTCTTAGATCTCAGTCCGGGTCCAGCCCAGTTCAGGCTGCTTTGTCCCCCTCTTAAATAGGACATTTGCAGAGGTGCTGATTGGCTCAGCCCCTGGCCAGAGGGGAGAGGGGGGGGTCATCCAACCTGGCCAGAGGCTGGTCCAACTGGTTTTGGAGACCGGGAAGCTTTTTGCAGCTTCTTACAGGGGCTGTTTCTGCAGCCCCTCCCCTGCTACCCAAAACCTCATCACATAAACCCAGCCCATACGTGAACTTCACTTTTCCAGTCAATGTAAACCAAATCTGATGTCTCAGGTGCCTGAAACAAGAAGACACAAGCTTTGTTCCACTTGCTACCTTGTCTCTGGATCCCACGGACCAGCTGGCAAACAGCCATTCTTCGTTGGCTGGGAACTGGGCATTGCAGTAGGAATCAGCACTTGAATTGCAGAAATTCCTCCTTTCTTCTAGCACTGATGGTCGTAAAACCATCATAAACAGGAAAAAATAGCTTGGCCTCTGCATTCAGACTGATGTTCATCTTCAAACCAGTATTTGTTTCAGCTTTATTTAAGTCTGTATTGGCTTTTTTAGATTTCATGACCTATATTATTTTTTTTCTTTGTGAGAATCCTGGTGGTTTCAGGTAATAGCAAGAGAGAAACTAGGTTACACTGAGAGGATCTCTTACGTCTCAGAATAATAAGATCAGCCTGCTCAGGGGAGAAAAAAAAAAAATTCAAGCTTGAGAACAAGGGGTATGTTACAGCACATTGAATAAAACCCTATATGAACAGAATATAACAGAAATCATTGGGAGGGCATGTTGCTTCAGCTTTTATCCTGCAGGGCAGATTTGATTAGTTTTGTCACATGAATGTTGGATCACTTCTGTGGACTTCTATACGGTCCGTGAGGTTTGTCCCTATGTTTATCGAGTGTGTTTATGGGCTCAACTGTTGGGTTTTTTTCCTGCCTGACAAATCTCTGTGGGCTTCACCGTGTGTGCGTTTTGTCTTATGCGTTGGCCTGCTGTCATAGCGTGTATTGCAATGTTAGTACTGAGCCCAAATAAGTCCTCATAAAGAACAGTAACGAAGCTTGATTATCAGGGTTAATTTGTGTTCTTTTCTTTATCACTTCATTAGCGTCGTCTTGGAGATGCTGCCAAGAAAGCCGTCGGTAAATTGACAACCAGGACAGTAAAGAAGGGTGATAAGGTACAACAATAAGATTTCAACATGGTAAACTTGAGCATCATGTTTAATTTTTACTGGGGGAAACAATCTCAGTTTTTCTTTTCTACTTCTGATTTATGACCTCACATTCCTTTTTGGAGGCTTTCTTTGTCCCGTGGCACAGTATTTTGTGTAACTTTTAGGATCGATGTATGCTGTAAATCTGTACGTTTCGAAGACATTTTTCTTGCTTAAATACTACTTGCAGTCTGTCTGGCAACTGTGACTGAGAGTGGTTTTGTGTTGCTAGCTGGCAGAGGGGTTTTGCTGGTAGGAGCACACAGGGCTAGCATTGTTTATATGGAATTCTGTAAGCTTAGAATCATTTCGTATATAAATTGTGTAAAGTAAAATAAATTTAAAAGATAGGACAATCTCTTATGTAAAATATGGATATCTAGTAATTGGAGGGAGCATATAAATAGGTACTTCATTAAAGATAATAAATGTTGCTCCAAGAATATTTCTTGCTAGTATACAAACTAAAATATATGGTATGTTAAGTCCTAAACTTTTTCCACTTTTATGAGCAGTACTGCTTTGTCTTTGATTCTGAAAGGAAAAAACAGTCACTTAATCTTGCTTAGTTTTTGCTCTTTAATTTGCAAAAGGCAAGGGAATTCTGGCTATGATTTGATTTTTAAGAGAAGATTATTTCCTTGGGCCTTCTTAGTGCGATTCCTTTTTATCTTTCTTATCAACACCATCAGCAATGGAAGGAAGGGATAGAAAAATTTGCTTCCAGAGAGAAGGCACAAAAAAAATGCCTCTCTGTTCTTCCTCCTTCCCTATGTAGCTTTATTTTAAGACAAACCCCCTGCACTAGATCTTTTCTATGGGTATGGGAGTACATATAGATAATGGGGGACTTTTCTGTATTAAAAAAAAAAAAAAAATGTCGTCTTGACAGCATAAATTCAAAACTGGCAATTGATGTGTAGGTTGCAGTGCAGACCAGCTTGAGATGCACACACAGGTGAACAGAGGGTAGGAGAAAACCTGTCCTTCATCAGAGCAGCCCGTTGGGATTCTGTGCATGCAGCACCCACTGGTGCTGACCAGGGAGTGGACATTGTCTTGCTGTGGTCCCTGTCTCGGTATCTTGCTGGTAGCTTGCTGACGTGTAAAAGAATAATGAACTTGAACTAAGAGAAGGTACAGTCTGTTTTGTGTCACAGGCCCAAACATTTTAAACATGTATTGCTGATGCCATAGCTACATCCAAGTGAAGTCAGCTCTTTTTCAGTGAAAATTTTTAATTTCTCCAGTTTAAAATTAAAAATATTTTTAAAAATTCATAACCTCTGGAAAACAGAAAAGAGAGGAGTCAGTCAGTTGATCCTCATTTTCATGTCTGGATAAGAATGATGATAATTCTGCAAGTAAGCAGCAGACAAAAATATGGGACCACTCTGAAATTAGTAAAAATTTCTAGTTCTGGCTATAAAAGGGAGTTCCAGGATTCTTATCCTAAAAAAAAAAAAAAAAAACCTGAATAAAATAGAAGTTTTAGCTGCAAGCTGAAGTAAAGCCTTTAGGAAAATCACTGCTATATTTTATAGTGATTCAACGAAATATTAGAATCATCTTAGGCCTTATCTTTGTTTCAAATGATCATTTACCAGCTCCAAATGAGGGGAGGGTTTTGTGTGTATGAGATACTTTTCTTTCTCAAGTCATGTTGGAATATAATAACCCAGTCATTGGTTTTCTGGGTAACAGCCACTTGGCACAACGCGGTTCGTGTACTAGTCACAACTACTTTTACATTTGTCATAGCCTCAACTCTTGACTTGAATTTTCATTCTGTTCATTTTAGGAAACAGACCCAGACTTTGATCATTGTGCTGTCTGCATTGAGAGTTACAAGCAGAACGATGTTGTTCGCGTTTTACCGTGCAAGTAAGCTAGTGAAGCTGCTTTGTTTGGAAACTATTCCTTCTTTACTTCATTTCATGTAATATGTGCATTGTAATTTACAGACACGTTTGTTAGATGTTTCCAGTCCTAATAACAGCCACTTTATTTTAGACTCTGAAGATGATGTGAAGGTGAGTGCTGGCACTGTTACAACAGTAATGATGAAACAAAAGATTATGATCTTGAAGATGGGCAGTTTGGGCATACCAGCAGTGGAGCTGTTAAGATTATAAGGAGCGCGGGTGCAGTTTTAAAAGACCAAGCAGTGGGTGGACACAAAAAACTTCAGTGTAATGAACCAGGTACAGCTGCAGCATTCTGCACAGTGGATGTGCAACATTGGCCGTTGGTCTCTGAAACGGTATAGGAAACAGAAGTGCAGTTTTTCCAACCTTCATACCTCCTCTGACATCAATCGGCCACTGTGCTATCATTTGTCTTTGGTCTCTCCAAAGTGCAGTGTGTTCTTGGCTTGTGCCTGAAGATTCGTACTTGCTGGATATTCTGCATTGGTGCTTAAAATGTAACAGCTTCTTCTTCGTTTTATGCCATTCTCTTGACATTTACAGGTTTTTCTGATTCCTTCCATTTTGCTTCCATTCTTGAGTTGTTTTGGGATATTTGCTCTTTGAGAGATGCTTTTAAGTGCTTTTCCACCTGGTGATTGGTTTTGATGAATTGGTACATTTTGGTAGCCTTAAAAATTACCAAGGACATTTTTCCCATGTATTCTGAAATGCAAAGCTTTCTCCTTATCTCCAGACACACAAAAAAAGTAAGTTGTGTTATATATATGCAGCCAAGATCTAGTAATTTGGCTTGTGCTTGGTATATAAATAGTGTTCTGTGTGATACTCTAGAAGCAAAAAAGTCATGGTGTTGGAGCTGAGCTTCAGTCACACAGCAACAGCACGTAAGAGCTCATTATCAGTCTTCTAAGTCTTCCTGTAGCCTACTCTGAATAGCTGGAATATTTTTCTGATGCATAATGAATTTCTATAATCATAAAATGAAAATGGTGGTATTGTATATCTTTTTGATCAAAATATGTGAACATTCTACTTTTGAAGCCAGAAGTTTAATTCAATTTACTTTTATCTGTATTCTGTACCTCTTGGGCTGTGGGAAATGATGAACTGGTTTAGATTCTCAGTGGTGGTGTTTAGTTAATTTACCCTACAAATGTTTGTTTATAAACTCTCATTAAAATATTTGGTAATAGAAGACCTTGGTCTCAGGTCTGTAAAGATTTGGGAGTTTTTGGTCATGTGTGCATTTCTTTTTTAGAATTTGGTCATTTTTACTGAAAGATGATGTCCTCTTGCTCATAAAAATGTACTCCAAGTGTTACATAAAGATCCCAGAGATTCGTGTCCTGTATTGTAATCTCAATTAAAGCTTGCATGTGAATTAAAATCTAGTCTTTGATTTGTTATGTATAAGATTATTTGGAAATTAGAGGAGGAACTCTTGGAAATTGCACACCAGTTTTGGACCACTAAGCAAATTTTTTTTTCTTAATTTCCTCTTAAGAAAGCTTCACTTGTGTAGTTCAGGGTAATACCTGTGAGGCACAAGGAGGTGGAATGGAGGTTCACAAGTCCCACTGCTCTGGGCCTTTCACTTTGGTACTGAACAGAGGTCAGAGGGAAGTCCTTGCCAATGAATAGAGAATGAGTCTTCATCTGGTAGGAAAGCATCTTCTCCCGCTACGGAGAACGCAAAATTGGGACTAAAAGTCAACTTCCTTAGTTAAACTCTGCCACTGTCCAGGCAACAGATATGTTGCCAGTATCAGCAGATGTGATCAGAACCTTTAACCAAGATGATCATTGATTTTATTTCTTTTATTTAAAAAAAAAGTTTTTACATCCACTTCCTTCAGACACCTCTGGTGAGCTGCAGTCCTGCAGATAGGAAGCTCCCTGCGGTCAGGGATAGTTACAGCTGCTTCAGGGAGGTGGATGAAGGTGCAGCTGGCTGCCATCTCAGCACAAGCTCCCTCAGTGCACTCTCCCATGTAAAGGAGATATCAAGGCTCTTTTCTGTTCTGTTTTTCACAAGAATATAAGGTCAGTGAAGGCTCGGGTTACATTCCTGCCAAAGGCTTTATGACAACTGTTATGTTTGCTTTCTCCTTCTCTTTTTTAAAAGTTCAGCTTTGAGTTGAGTGCAAAACTATCTTGGCTAAACCGAAACATTGACTTGAAGACAAGACATTTTTATATTTGTAGATGAAGGGCCAACCAATCCCTGCAGAGATAAGCCCGATAAATATCAGCTTGTGTGTAAGACCTTTCAGTCTTCAACATCTGAGATGCTTCTCCCCAAATCTTATTTTGGAGATTTAATCCCTTTCTACTTCCTGATACTTCAGCCTTTCATTTTAGTGCAACATGCAAAGTTTGTTTAAAAAACCCTCAAAAACACAACACAAAAAAAACCCTACAAGAAAGTGTCTAAGCCAGATGAGAAAATAAATTGCAAGAAAACCATGGAGAAAATGGCTTGACGCAGAGGAAGCAAATGAAAGGCTAGAGGAAGCCCGTTGAGGAAGCTGTAATCATTAGCCAGTAGGAATCACTGACGTACGACATCCTGGTTGTTTTCATCAATTTAAGAGCAGCATTTCCCTTTGGTGCCACAGTTGTTCTCTGCAGGTAAGTATGGTCTGTCACTCCGTGGCTCAGCAGAGAGGAGTCTGGTTTGGGCAGACACACAGCACCGAACATTTTGTAGTGAAACAGCATGTCTGTGATATTAAGTTTTGTGGCAGGTGGGAAACTGACCAATTTAAAAATAAACTGAAATGATTGCGAACAATGCAGTTGAATGTCTATCATTCTTTTTGTGCTTCAGAGAGAAATATGTGCAGTACCAGCAGCCTATGGACATACTTATAGCTTTTAGTGCTTACAGAGGGGTAAGGCAGCCATCTCTGTTAGACTTAGAAGCCTGAGGAATGTCTGTCTTTTGTGAATATCATTATGTAAGTTAAAAATAAGTAGTGTAAGCAAATGTCAGGAGCATGCTATCAAACGACAAACCTCACGGACAATTTTCTTTATTGAGATAATTTTACCATCACACTGCTGCATCTAATGAACAGGCACTCAGTGAAAAGTGATCAGGAGCGGGTAGTGTGAAGGACTAGTGAGAGATAAGGGAAGGGGAGAGCAAAGTGGCAGGTTAGAGGAAAAGCACAGAGTGACACTAGGCAGGGCAGAAAGATGGTCTGGGAAGGAATTTACAAGGTAGGAGGAGAATTAAATATGTTAAAATATATGGCTTTTGAGTCATTATCTCCTGTACTGGGCAAGAAGGGAGAGAGTGACAGAAGCAACTAAGCCAGATTTCTATTTGTTTGCTTCTGTGCTGCTGCAAATAGTGGTTGTTTGGGGTTGGTTGTTGTTGTTTTTAAGAGCAAATTAACACAATATCTCAATGCCTTCCTTTCTGCTTACTGCAATACTTCTGCATCACCCCTATTTTCTCTGCTACCTGCTTGCGAGGGCGGTCTCTCTTTTCCCTTAGCAATACTACATGTGTGTGGAAAGCACTGAGGCTGTTCTCCCTTGGCGTTGCAGATGTGGTGTCTTCCTCCCTGCTGCAGCAGGCCAGACACCTCTCCTCGGCTGTGCTAGCTGTAATGGGCTGCCTGCAGCAGGGCAGGAAGGACCTGTGTGCTGTTTGCTGGCCCAGCTGGAAGGTTTGTACCCAGGGCAAGGAGAGCAGCTGCCTCCAACAGTAGCCAAAGATGCTACTTTGCAGCAGCACATTGATCAGGTCCCTTTGGTGGAGATGCTGCACTGAGAGCAGGGAAGTGTAGCGAGCTCTTGGGATATAGTACCTGTAAACTTGTTGAAACCCTTCCCCTTGTGTGGCATGTGAATTTGGAGGCGTTACACCACCAAAAGAAATTTCTAACTCACTTTTTCTCTGCTAAGTGCTGCAAAGGAGATGTGTGCAACAGAGTCGGCATTATGGTGTTTATTACAAGCTGGAGGGCAAGTGGCTTGGGTGTGCTGACAGAGTGGAAAAAATTCCTGCAGGTCACCTGTTTGGAGTTATGCCTGCATGGGAGACTCCCTCAGTCCTACCAGCCTGGCTGCCGGCCGTGCCTCCTCCAGCTCTGAGGCTGGAGAAGCAGCAAAAGCTCTGTCACACTTGACTCCCTGGTGTGTGGCTCCTGGGCAAATGTCATCAGCCACTGTGACCTAGAGCAACTCGCAAGGAACTCTTCAGATTTATGGTCTTGGAAAACAAGTGACAGAACTATGAAGATAGAGAAAATTTATGACAGCAGAAAATGCAAGGCTTACTTTGTCAGACTGAGTTTTAAAAATAATTCATGTGTTTACTATCATCTCCATTGCTGTATAACTGCTTTTTAACTCTTACAAGCGGAGAAATCCAGACAGAGCCTGAGCCATGGTGATGGTATCAGCAAGCTTTTTAAGGAGTAGATAAACTGCATTAGTAGTAGGCAGAGCCATGCTGATCTAAATCAATAAATAACCTTTGGGGAACTGCAGTTTTTTGAAACACATTAATAAACATCCTTGATGGTTTAGGATCTTAAAGAATTAAGAGGTCACAAAAATAGTTAAGCTGTTTTGGCGTATTTGAACTATATCAAGCTGCTAGTGACCCTTTAAAATAATTCATAGTAAGTAGCAGATGCATGTTGGCATTCATATCAGTCGCCTGCTTCACTTGATCTGAGTGCTTCTACAGCACTGATTAGCCGATAACAATATATTAAAACTGTTTTCATACTTCTGCGGAGTCTTGATGTCTGCCGTTTCCCAAAATGTTAGATTTTCAGGTTTGTCCTACTCTTGAAAAACAGACTTCAGAATCTTAAAAGGAAACATAATCAACTAAAAGCCATAATTTGCCTAATGTAGAAAAATAGCATCTCTGTGTGCTTCAGAAGATTTCAAACCATTTTCTGTCACCCAGGATTTCTAAACATTGATTCCTGGAGTTTTGTGAGTAATAAAGGGAATGCATTAAGATCTAGTAATGACAGAAGTGAGTTTGTATTTTATGCATTTATTTGAGCAGTAAGTAATGTATATATCCTGTTTTTTGTGATTGCTGTATTGCTAAAAGACTCAGTCCAGCAAAGTGACTAGCTGAGATTCTCTAAGTTGCTATTCCGGCAATATCTGAGCTGTAGAAAAACAAAGTTCTTTCACTCCCTGTTTATCTTCCGTTGACTGTATTATACTCTGTAAGTCTATACATCTTTAGTTGATACAGGTAGGATACATAGTTGTAGCTGACTGGAACCTAATTATGTTGGTGTAGTTTAGTCCTTCCTCAGTCTTGGTAGCGATAGACAAAACAATTATATACTGTCTTTTTCCATGTTTGTTAACAAATTCATGAGGACTTTTTCTCTGGTCATTGTCCAGATGTTTAAAAGAGAATTATCTGCTAACATGTCTCATTTGGTCTCTGTTTTTACAATCCCGAGGGATAGGGAGCAAAGAAGTCCCAGGCCCTCTGATGAGCTTACTGAGGCACAGAGCAGCAAGTATAAGCTGAGAAAGGCAGGATGGAGAGTATAGCAACTTTCTGCTGCCTTGGGGCATGCGTGACCTTTTACAAGCCATGCTGATGCCTCAAATAGACGGCAAGAATGCCTTGTTCTGCCACTGTTTCTTTGCCAGCTTGTTTCAGGGCACAGCTCTTCGCTGGCTAAGCAGCCCTTGTAACTGCTGGTTGTTGTTGTCATCACCAGTCTGTAGTGTTCGGGTGTGCCTGCTCTTACTGGCTTTTTGCTCTGCAGGCACCGCCACTGGAAATGAAAGATCTGAGCTCTTGTTGTAGGCAGTTACTCAGGCTGGGTTATTATGAGTATTTGCTGAAGCTGTGTTGTGTAAAAAGTCTAGTGATACCCATTTCTGCCATGTATATGCTTTGAAAAGTTCTTTGCATTTTGAAAAGCTAAGAGGACATTTCCTTTAACTCCTTTAATTTAGATATGTTGTTTTGGTCTCTGCATAGTCCTTCCTTGTTACATTGGTTTATATCAATCCCAACAGTGTTAAATTTATATTCGTGTATGTGGCTAAGATTTCGTATGCAATGTAGGTGGTAATTCAGGCTGTTCTCTATTGCAGAGTTCCCTACTGTGCAAGTAGAAGCCCAGTTTACCTTTTCATCTTTGAAAGATTATTCTTTTTTTTTTATGCCCATCGTAAGACCATCATATGATGATGGATGTTTTTTCCCTCCTGCTATCAAGAAATACTGATTGTAGAAAAAAATCTTTTACTTAGATGTGATAATTATAAAAGCCCCTTCAAAATCAAACATAAGTGTGCTTGGGTTAGTTGAACTGACTGTTGAATAAAATTGACTGATGGTGGATCTGTGCTCTTCCTACCCAATTTATGGCCAGGCTCTACATAGAAATTGAGGTAAGATTTTATACAAGATTACGGTGGACACCTTGTTACCCTAGTTGTTCTGTTCATGTGCATACTGATATCCACAATAAAAGAGGGGAAAAAAATAATCTTCCTTTTAAGACTTTCTTCCTAGTTGTACTATTAGTAAAGGGTTGCAACAACAAGCAAGAGGTTTTGATTTTATTTTTTTTTCATTGCAATCAGCACAGAAAAATGGCAATTCTAGAATTTGTTTTGCTGGCCTAATTAAAGAAGAAACTATCTAAATGTTTGTTAAAGTAGTTCTCATTGTATAAAATAGAATTGTTTGCAAATTATGTATGTGCCTTGTCTGTTTTTTTAGGCATGTTTTCCACAAAGCCTGTGTGGATCCATGGCTTAGTGAGCACTGTACATGTCCAATGTGTAAACTGAACATTTTGAAGGCACTGGGAATTGTGGTAAGTTGCACTGTTGTGAGCTCTTCTTCCTCCCATATCTGAGATCCAGAACAGGAGGAATAATTGTAGGGGGAAAAAGGCAAAAGAGTGTACTAGTACCCTTAGTCAGAAAGCGTTTGGGTTTTTTTACCAATTTCTTTGCTGCTGATAAAGCTAATTTGTTGATGTTAATTGTTTCCCTGGTTTGTCATTGGGAATATGTTGTATTTCCATTTGTAACAATTTCTTATCTACTGGAAGTCTAGTAGCTTCTCCGTAATACTCCCTTTTCTCAATTTCTTTCAACATTTCTTTGTAAATATCTTGTTCTTGTTGTGGTCTCCTGTAGAGACTCTTAAATTTGTTTACACGTTAAAAGCCATGCCCTAGCTGGGGCCACTGAGTTTTCCTCATGCAGCTCATGGCTTATGGGATCCCTGAGGACTGCTTTTGTTGACCCTTTCACAGAGGGATAGAAGTGGAGAACCTCAAAGAGGATTTTTCCATCTTGCCCATATGAGGAGAAAATCGTAAGGTAGAAGCGATGCTCTTTTGAGAAAGAAATAAGAAAGAGAAGAGTGTATGAAGATATTGTCTAAAGCAGCTTTTGAATCCAGCCAGTGAGAATGATCGGGCCTCCATTTTTAGCTGTGTCAGTGGAAAATTTGCTCATTTTCTAAGAAACAATTGCAGATACATTGTGGATGACATATTTCTGCAATTAATAACCCACCTGGATTTTTAGAGGAGGATACAGCAGAATTCTGTGCATGTCATCATCACTCATGGTAGCAAACCATACAGGCTATGATACAAGCATATTTGAGACCCTTTCTTGAATCTTAATCCTTTTCTCTATTTCTTCCTGCACCTCTTTAAGGTGGGCTGAAAAAGCAACTTTGAATAAAACTTGCTAATTCGTGTGTTTCTCTCCTGTGTGATCCAAGGACAGCCATAGCAGTTGAATAGTAGTGTGTGTGTGTGTGGTTTTACTCAATTTATAGGCTTGCTACATGTAGGATATTCGCTGTTGTAATGTGGAATTGCTTGTTTTTTCTAGCCAAACATGCCATGTACGGATAACGTCGCCTTTGACATGGAAAGGCTCACCAGAGGCCAGCCAGCTAGCAGGCGCTCCGCGCTCGGCGATTTTGCCAACGACAGCTCTCTCAGCCTGGAGCCCCTGCGCACCTCTGGGATGTCACAGCTTCCACAGGACGGGGAGCTAACGCCAAGGTCAGGAGAGATCAACATTGCTGTGACAAGTAAGTTTTCTTTGGCTTCCAGTACCGTTCTATGGTTTTCCTGGTACGTGACACTTGCTTTGCTGCAGCTCTGTGCTGCAGGGCCATGGTGAAAGATTTCCATGCGCGGACAAAGGTGACCTCGGTGTCTCCGTAAGAGGCGCACGCTCCGTATTGAAACCGATAACTCTAGGTATGACAGTGCCAACGCTTCCATTATTAATGGTAAATCCATTTAGATCTGCATGCAGAGAACACTGGATGAACTAAAATGGCAACAAAATAACCTTCCTGAATTTGGTAACCAGTATGAGAAGCAGGATTGCCAAAACCATTATTTACTCTTTTAGAATACTTTACATGCAATAATTTATACAAATATAAATATTTTAGTTGATTACTATTTTTGCAGACATTTTTCCCCTTAGAACATTACAGCTGGAATTCTGACATCTCTTAGCAGATGGATTTTCTTACAAAATTTGTGAATTAAAAAAAAGTATTTGGTGTACCAACATTTGAGTGTTGTCCAAGTGTTTTATCACATCAAAAAACTGTTCCTGCACTGCTTGCAAGCTCTTATCCATAAGAACAGCATGAGAAGTTTCCACTCACTGGATTTTACCTAAGATTTTTAATGTATAATAGCACTATAATTGATACGAGATGTGTGTAATTGCATCATTTTTCTATATGCTGTACAGTCTCAATTTGTTGTACAAATGGTTGTTTTTCTGAGTGAATTGCAAAAATAGAATCCATGCTTTCTCCTTGTGTTTTGCTTATATACATCTATGATCTAGGTGTTGAACTATATACACTGTTTGCCACTGCTGTGTGTATAAGAGGCAGTGGAACTGATATAGTCCATTATAGATGCTGTACAAAGTAAATGTCTCATTGAAAAAATCTCATCTTATGAAATACATAATCCACATCCAGAAATATCCCGATCTAAGAAGGAAAAATCCACATAGAAAATGTAGATCCTTTACAAAACCAGTAAATCACTTTGTCATGCAGTTGAGCAGAGAGCAAATCTGTTCGTGTGCTGCTTTCCTTGTCATGGGTGGGAAAACCCTGTAGCTTCAGTTAAACTTTGCACGACTTGGTTTTACAGAAGGTGTTTTTGCTGTCTGTTCCCAGCTGCAGTACTGGTCTTGCACAGATGAGATGCCAGGGTAAAGCAAGCAATAATCAGCAACAGTTTGTTCCGACAATGTTTATAAAACACAGCTTTAGAAAAGGCTGTTTAAGTGTTTGGATTTTATGGATGACACATGCATTCTTTGATGCATGAGAGTTAAACCAAAAGCTGTATTCAACAGGAGTGTCTGTATTCCGATCTATCGCTGTGCCAAATTGATCCTGAATAGTGAACATACTTCAGTAGCCTTCTTTATACTGCTTTTTATTTTTTTGTGTGTCTGTATGTATACACTAATGCTGAAATTATTTTTCCATGTTGTATTCCTGTCTATTAAATGGAACACGCTAGTTATGTTTTACTGTTGAATAAGCTACCCTATTTTTTGGTTGTTTTTTTTTTTAAAGTAACACTAGCATTTATTAAGGGGGAGGGGGCAAAGACACAGATGAAGTGTGAAAGTATATTGGGAATGCTTCTGTGAAGAGCTGCATCTCAGCAAATCTAAACCAACCCTGACAACCTTTTCTAACTTGGGGGCAGACAGAGTTTTCATTACGTTTTCCCTTGTTCCTGCATTTCACTTTGCATTGTTAAGTAATCTTTCTTTATCACTAACCCTTGGGCTCAGCCAGGAAATATTGTTGTGCCATGCTTTTTTTCCACACCTCTCTCCACTTCTTCTTTGCTAGCCTTCTCCAGTCAGTAACTCTGTGGCTAACCTCCTTCTGCTTCACCTCCTGGTGCCAGTCATGGCTTAGAAGCCTCTTGCCTTCTGCCAGTGGTGTTTGAGGGAAATATTGGCATCGCTTTGACATAAGCCTTCACCCACGAGTGATTTCCTCCCTTTCCTTTGTCAACAGAAGAATGGTTTATTATTGCCAGTTTTGGCCTCCTCAGTGCCCTTACACTCTGCTACATGATCATCAAAGCCACAGCTAGCTTGAATGCTAATGAGTAAGTAAACGTTCAGATGTTTCTATATGTTTCTGGTGGGAGTGTGTCATGGACACCAAGGGAACAGAGAAGGGGGAAAATAGTTTTCAGTGTCAAATGCCTTCTCTGCTTTTCTCAAGTGTAAGTGTCTCTGATAACAGTAGGTTCCAGGGTAACATCTAAAGTCTCTCTTAATTTATATTTAGCTGGATTGTCTTAAAAAATCACCTTGCCAAGTGGAGACATAGAGGGGAAGAGAATATTTATATTCAGTTTTTGATCAATGATCTAGGTAAACATTAGATTTCTGCTATTAAATCCCCATCTTCAAAATTCACCTGACAGAGCCAGAAATTACTACCATCAGTTACCTTTTGACAATTTTCATCTCAATTTTAGTCAAACTTCACATTAAAGAAAATATCAGTATTCCTAGTTGGCATACTTTCAGCTAAGAAAAAAGATATTTAAATATATTTAAATAGAAAACTACGTTTTTGCTCTTAAGAAAGGGAGAGATGAAAGCAATGAATACGCTACTGTTTCTTCTCTCAAGTGAAGAGAGCAGACCAGTCTTCTGACCTGTAATTTTTGTATGCTTAAGAACTGCAGTCAGAGGAGGCCTTAGATATCCACACTTTCTTAATTTTTATAGACACCCCCAGTGCCTCCCTCAGACAGGCTGGACAAGAAATTCCTCTGGATCATGACTTTCAGTCTTTTTTTTATCGTCTGTGTGTGGGCAAGTATAAATTGGTTCTGCAGATGCGTTAACTAGGTACATCAAGCTATTTTTATTTTAGGTGTACAGAACATCTAAGCTCATGATACATGTTTAAACATAACTTATTTATTTGGGAGGGAAAGCAACAGTGTCTGTCTTGGTCTCTGAACATCTTGATACAACTGAGTTTCCATTAAATGTGTTGATCTCTTACCAAAAGTGGGGTGAGATTCAAAGGCAGTCTCCTGTGCAGCCTGGAAATGTAGCTTTATAAATACAACTTCCTTTTTTTTTTATTGTTTTGTTTTGGGATAAGAGAAGGAAGTGGGTTTTTGGCTTGTATTGCTCTCTGGAAAAGTATAAGGCATCCTCAATAATATGGAAACATATCTAATAATCTCCAATGTAAAATTTTATACAGTCTCAAACTAATCTTCAGGAGAGGCTATAATAAGTTCTTAGAGGTTTTGGTCATCAGAACCTTTGATTACCACTAATTTGCAAATCTTCCTTTCCTCCTCTTTTTAGATGTTAATTCCGAAAGGATTTAAGGAAGAAAAGTTTTAGAACTTCAAATAGCCCTGTCAAGTCTCCTGATTATTGCTTTTTCTTTTTCCATCTGTCAAAATCTTGAAATTGCAACTATTAATCAGCAACTTAGCAACTCAGCTGTAGCTGGGCATAGTTAGTCTGCACTGAAAAGCAGCTTGGGAAGGCATGGAGCAAGATGAGTTGTGAAACGGGAGTGTCTGCATTTCTGGGCATTTCCACATCGTTAGAAAGAAGACAAAGGAACTGTAGCCCGTGTAGTATCATCCAGATGTGGGCACTGATAGCAGTTTCGTTTCTGCTTTTCCTTGCAACTGTTCTTTCTGTTGTCTTTTGCTCAGCTGGGTCTGAGTCTATTTTTACTGAAAGGACAGACTTCTTCACGTTGGCAGAAAGTTTGGGCCTCCAGAGAAGTGTTTTCATAGTGATGTTTCCTTAGTACAAACAAAGGGCATGCAGATGCAAGGAGAGCTCCTTTCCCCAGTGATAGGAATGAACATGTGAGCATATATAAGCATATATTTTGAGGCAGACTTAAGAAAACTAGCAACCGTGGAAACCGGAGCTGTTAAAAATCACTTCCTTGGGAAACTGAGGTACCCTAGCTGTAGCCTTTAACCTCAACAGCTTTTCAACTGAATCCTTGTGAGATCTAAGCAGCCTCCACAAGTGTGCTACGTTCGACTGCTAATTTTAGACAGTTTAGAATGTGTATGTATGACACTAATTCTTAGATTCATTGTTTCATTGACACTTTATGTTCCCCAGTGCCAGACAAAGCATTGCCTGTGATGAATATCATGCCAAATACATGGCAGCTGCCTCTCACTGTGATTTCCATTAAATGTCATAACAGCCCACCTGCTTTTTATGCTGTTCTCCATATAAAAAGCAGTGCTGGCTTATCCAGCATTTGTTATGGTAGTGTTGCAAGAGGAAGCTGAGGGCTTCTTCTCATCAGAAAACAGCAGTAGGAAGAATGAGGCCACATAATACGCTGATGCAAGTAAAACGTGCCAAATATTCTGCATTAAAACTCACCTAAACACGTGTCCTGATCCTTTTTTTTTCCTGTGTCCTTCCTGCAGCTTAAATGTGCATATTTAGAGCAGTAGTTCTGGAGTGTTGTGTGTGTATTTATATATAACCGTGTATATATATGTTTGTGTATATGTATATATACACACACAAATGCATTGTTAAGTAGTTCCTAATAAAAGTAAAAGCTGTCCAAGTGATAAGAAAATAAGAAACCAACTGCTTTCTCATCTCATTATGTCCATGCACTGTTACTATTAAATGATTCAGGGAGTGATTTGAAGGAAGAAGCACATTTTGCTTTGTTTCTTAGGGAACACTCAGAAACTACTATATAACTAACTGTGTTTTAAAGTCTAGAAAGCCCAGATGTTGGATAGCACCACTTAGAGAAAGTTTTCAGTAGCAGATGGAGTTTCCTCAAAAGTTTAGAAGTGTTTAAACCTCTGGCTGTCCTGTCTGTTTTACTGGTCCAGTAAGAATGATATAAGGAGTACAGACCTATTTTAATGCTCTGGCCTTGTGTAACTAGTAATTTCTCACTAACTCACTTTTACAGGATTATTTATTTATTTTCTTTTTTTTAAAGTATTGTCAGTGTTAACTCTAATATAAATATTTTGTTCTTTTTTTTTCTGCCCCACAGAGCAGAATGGTATTGAAGAAATGCTTTCTGACCGATTGCCTTGGAGAGAGACACCTATTTTTATGCGTCATTTATCGATCATGCAGCACAAGCAATTATTTAGTACATTCTATTTTTTCATAAAATTTGCTGATGCCAAAGCTTTGTATTAAGAAAAAAGTGAAGAAATAAAAAAAACTTTAATTATGAAATCTTACTCTCTGAGAATTTTATTTTTCTTGGACTTTCTGTGTTAGTACTTAAGTCTGACAGCCTTTTGTAGATTTCTTAAGGTACTTTATTTCCTTTGAATGATTTTTGTCTTTGCAGATCTATTTTCTGCTCCTTTCATTTTGGTGGACACAAGCTAACAAGTGGAAATTCCATGTAGTGCCGTTCTTGTGATGCTACCCAGCACTGGAATGACTAAAAAGAGTATTACTGATCGCTCCATACCAACTCATTAAGGAAAAAAGCTGGGCCAAGCATTCTGGTATATGGCTTACCTTGACTCCAGCTGAGAATTAACTTGAAATAAGGACATTTTCTGTATTTCTGCTCCTCTAACACTCCTGTGTCACACTAGGAGGATTGCAGTATGGTTTTTGTCTTCAGGTCAGGCATTGCTGAAGGTGTGCAACGCTATTTTCTTGACATACAACACAAACCCTTTCTGGCTGTTGCTTTCACCCCACCCTTCTTTCTGATAAAAGTGAAGTTACTCTAAACCACTTCTTCCTTCCTACCAAGTGAGAAGGTAACATTTTCCACCACTGTTATCTGTGAAACCTTTCATATTAGTGACAGGTTAGTTTTTCTTCAACTTCAGATCATGAAAGATTGGTAACGGTCTGTACTGTAGTGTAGAAACTCTGTGCGAACATGTCTCTTCTTGCCATGGCTGTTTTACTGGTGAGGAGGCAGAGGGAAAACATCTCTCGTTGCTGTCCTCACTCAGGCTGCTCCACGCAAGTTGACTTACGCAAGCAGTGTATGAGTGATTTCACAACAGTCAGTTAAAACACGCGGATCTGATCTGAAGCCAAATGCTAATGCTTGAGTTAATGAGATGGGTAGATGAAGGTAACAAATCAGTACGGAAAATATAATCGATAGAAGTTAAAACCTATTCTGAGTTCGGTTGTTTTCGTTGTACATATCAAGATGTAGACGTTTGAAACTGAATGCTTTCTGATTTAATTAAATGAACAGAGAACCAATTTTACTTGTAAGATTTATATTTTTTTATGTACTGGGAAATAGAGAATTTAATTTCATTTTATTTTTATGTATAGGCACTTTTAGAATTTAGGAATACAGCCAAAGTCTACATTAAAATAGTTTCTTAATTCTTATCTGTCCAGGAGGCTTCAGCTGAGCAAGGCAGCTTTTATAATTAGAGATGAAGTAATCGCTAGCTTCAGTACATTTAATAGAATTATTTTTCAGTGTGTCCTTGTGAAATTTTGACAAAAACATGAAAACAATCAGTAGAGCAGTAAGTGTGTTTTGAAAGACTGGAAAACCCCATTGGACTTAGTCACGAAGAGGCAAAAAACCTCAAACATACTGTGTCTGAGGACTGTCTCCCTGCAAAATACAGCGTTTGTCAGCTGAGCGTTGTTGCCAAAAATGGGAGAATGTGGTTGGAGCGTGTGGAGGGTGCAGGCTATGAAACACAAGGGTGATGGGTTTTTTCACCCATCTCTCGACAGTGGTAGTGAAATTGAGAAGTTTGTGCTTGTCTTCTTAAACAAAAATCCTTGAATGCCTTATAATGCCATTGGGAGGGATGCACAGGGACAGCCTGAACAGCATCGTGGCCCACATGCAAAGGACACCACAAACAGTTCCAGTTCATGGTGGTTCTACAGAACAGCAGCAGAAGGAGAAGTTGAGTGATATTGGGAACAAAATGGTTGACAGGGCTTCTAGTGCATTTTGCTCAGTGGGGGATTTAAATAACCCAGGGCCATCTTTTTTAATCTTTTTTTTTTTTTGAGCCTCTAACAATTGTCTCAACAAAGTGTTAATAAAAATACAGACAGCATCTGCTAGATTAATTACAGGTCAGGCTAGCGATGTAAGTTTATCCTGTTAATGAAATGAGTATATTTGAAGATAGACTCTGCATCATCACAGAAACTCAATTTTTTTTTTTACTCTGGCTAGACACAAGAAGAAAATTCCCAAAGTTTTTGTTGCCTGCCATGCTTTTAGATATCCACACGTAGAAGATGAGTAATGTTACTCTCATATGCATAATCATACTAGTGAGAGGAAGGAAGAGCTGGTCCCTCTTTCCAGATGTTGCAAAGATGGCAAAACGGGACTGACAGAGAGTTCCAAGAGGGAGTAGCAGTGCCCTGCTAAACAGCTGACTTCTAGGAAAGGATACTTTCTTAAATAGTCCTGCTCTGTTTTTCCTTAACCAAGAGGGTGAAACAGATTGTCTGGGATAGGGAGTGCTCTGATAGGATTTCCACATTAAGAAGTCATAGTGCTGGAGCTGTGGAGGGACGGCAGCTTGTGGCACAGGATGGCCCTGAGTAATGACTGAGGGCATTAAAATACTTTGATGGAAAGGGAACACCAGGTGGTACTTAATCCTGATGCACCTGCAATGCTACAGTGATGCTGTGTCTCTCGAATTTTTGGCCTTGGTGTTGTGCTCGCTTCTGTAGCATCCTATGGTAGGTATAAAGATCAGTTCCAGGGTAGTATGTTTATTTTCAGACTCAATACAAGTTATCTTGTATTGTAAGTATACAATGAAGAACAGTGGTAAAGAGCATTGAAGGATTAATGTTTTCATATTTTAAAACGGAATGCAGACTTCCTGTTTGTTTTCCGTACCTAAGGGATAAATCCTGATTGTTCTTGTTAAGTGCAAAATAGGAAGAACAGATCCATAAGCTGAATTTGGACCTGTGGATGTTTCAACTTGTCCTTAAAATACATTTATTCTGTAAATTTATCAGCTGGACTGATGCCACATTTTTAAACAAACACTAGTGATTTTCTGCATTAAGCTGTGGGTACCTGGGTCGCTGTGCCCTGCCGACTCTGTTTCTCTAGCCGTAAGCTGTGGGCAATGATACTGCCTGGTTATTAGAGCACCTGAAGATGGAGTGTTGAAAAGCACTGAGCAGCAGCTGGATTTTCAGCACTGGACAGGCTGCACTGAATGGCAGGGGAGAGAGACATTGAGGAAAAGAATGCATGATGTGTCCCAAAAGTGGTACAAAAGCCAAGAGATTTCTATCTGTATGGAAACATGCGGCCTCTCTGGAAGTGGGTGGCTTAAATTTCTTTTGCCAAGAAGCAAGAAAACATCACAGTAAGAATTTTAGAGGTGTTGAATATACAGTGCCTTTTCCCAGATTAATTTAAAATATTTGTCAGATGACCTGTCTGCCTGTTGATTAAATCTCTCCCTTGAATCTAGTAGAGTGGAATTCTGGGCGCACATAGAGGAAATGACGCCCTGGGCTGTCTGCTTCCTAATCCCTTGTTTGATTTTTGTGTGATAAAAACAACAGCAACACCAAGCTTTTAGAATCCCCTTTGTTTCGTTTTGGCTCTGGCAGTTCAGTATGTAACATTTCAGCAGGTGGAGGAAAGGGAGATGAAGCATCCATTATCCATGACTTATTTCAACTGCAAGCTGAGGCTCAGTCATCAAAAATTAAATGATCCTGACCTATAACACATTTCAAGAAGAATCTTGAAATCAGTTTTGTCTGGTGTAACTTCAAAGTAGGTTCAGTTTTTTTGTTTGAAGACAGACTATGATCAGCTGGAAGGCATCGTTCCAAGTTTATGTTCCCTCAAAAACTCAAGTTTTTTTATTTTAAACATTGCCCAGTTTTAGAAACCTGTAAATTTGGGAGAGGGTTCAGATCTAGAAGGTGGGTGTTCATCATCCCCTACTGACTACTTCTGCAAAGTGTATTCCAGCACAGTACACTTCTTCCAAATACCTGGATATGTGCTCCTGGCAGAATGAGCAATTCACTCCTATGCAACATAGCTACACATTTCACTCAGTTAACTACATGATCAAAAATAAATTAATTTGCTTATGAGAACTTCCTCTTCTCGGTGCGAGTGGTGGAGCGAGCGTCTGTACTGGCTTTTGGTGATAAAAGAGAGGTTTGGAGGAGGTTTAAGAAACTGTCAGCAGATATGCTGCCCAGCTTCCGTTTGCTGCTGTTCTTCACGAGGATTTGACCCGGGCACACAATTGCTGTGCAGCTCAGGCCGGAGTTTGCTGCAAATCAGGATGGCAGCTTGCTGTCACAGCTTGCAAAATGAGTTTTCATGGAGCCTGTCTACACTGTCCCTGGCTCTTCCAGCCAGTGCTGTTACGAGGCCACTGCTTTGATTCATCTTCGCTTTTGCTTTTTCAACAATTCTGTGTATTTGGTTATAACTCGCTATAACTCTAGCTTTTTCGTTCTAATGCTAATAAGGACTTTTTTCATTTTCTTTTCTGAGTCTCTGGGTTTTGGGTGAGTGGGGAAGGAGAAAAGATGTTTTGGACAGTAGCAGCTAAGCTCATTATTTCAGAAAGGCCTAGGTTGGACTCAAAATTTGGCAAAGGAGGATTTAAGCACCTAAATTCTGCCAGGACTAAAACTGTAATCCCCTAAGTGTGTTGCTCCACTGATGTCTGAAACAGGAGGCACCTTGGTTTGCTGGATGCCTTCTTGATGAACTTGGAAGCTATTCAGTTGCCTCCAATTTGGCTCATGTGGCTGCCTGGCATATTGTAAATCTAAGCAGCCATGCTCCCTGCTAATCCCTCCTGGGATCAAGAAACAGAGTAATGAAACGTTTTGGCCAAGGGCCTGATCTGATAGATGCTTTCAGAGAGAACCGTTTGTACAGCAGTAGGGCTGGGCTCCTTGCAAAACACATCTGAGGGTTTGGAGATCCATGGGAGCGCCAGGCCGCCCAGGAAAAAAATGAACTTCCATTCCCAACTCTATTAACAGCCACTTGGTGTTTGTCTCAGGAGTCAGTGACGTTGGAGAAGAGGGTTAGGTCTCATTTGACTCTGTGTAAGGAAATACACAGATGCCTGTTACTGGAGGGTGACTCTGGGTGGATGGAGGTTGCTGAGCTCAGAAGGACGTCAGGCTTTCAGCAGCATTGGTCCAACGATCCTTGGTGACCTCCTCGCTCAGCCTGCTCGTTCCATTTGACC